AGTCTCTCTGCATCTTATTCTTTGTAGGTAAATGTCAATAGTTACACATTGATTGAAAATTAAAAACAAATCTAGAAAAATCTTGTCTTAGCAATAAGCAGGTCTGGCTGCAATGTTCACTATTGTTTAGCATGTATATGGAGTTTAATAAAGTTGTTTGCTTGAATACCTGTAATCAAGTTTTCTATGAGAAAACAGCTATGCCAAAAAGACTTTACTGAAGTATTTTAAAGCATCAGCCACTTAATACAGGTCAGAAGAGTGGCACTTACACCCCCCTGCAATCTCAGAAGAGCAGTAAGCACCTAGTTGTATTTAAATTAGTTTTCAACTTGTCAAATAAACCAACATTTACCACAATTGCAATATACAGAATTAATGAGTCACAAATACCCCAAGCAGATTAGCAATTCCTCTTTTAAAAAAGAAAAGAAAAAGAAATACCATAAGCACTTTTAAGTCTTGTAACTTGTCAGCACTGAAACACTGCATTGCATTTCTCTATCAATCTACTTCACAAGAGAAAGCCACTCACTTATCTTTTCCTAGATATTGTGCAATCTCTGAAAAAAATTATACTCATACGCCATGAACCCTGATAAAAAGTCTGCCAGCATTTACAGAGCTTACCAAAACTCTCTCAACCATGTTTTCTCCAAACACAAAATCAGAATTGCGGCTGTTCTGTACATTTCTGTCTTCAAACAACTGACTTCTGTGGGAACAAAATAACATAAGAATGTGATTTAGAACTATTTAGAACTTTGTAAAGAATATAAATAAGTTCATGCATTTACTTTACCACATCTTACATTAAAGACAAACAAAAAGTGACCACTTAAGTAATCAGACAAATTCTTTAAGAGAATCTGAGAATATTCTCAGCATAACATTTCACAAGAGGAACAGAGAGTATTACACTGTATTTCATTAAGATTATTGAGGATGTTTGTTAAAAGCAAAGAACAAGAAGCAAAACAATATGCCTCCTCCTCCTCAGGGAAGTATCTTACTCGAGAAACTTTAATAAGTTACATTTGTTTCCCTGTTTCCTTTCGCTCCACTGAAAGACTACCAACAATTAACAATTATCCCTTCATGTTGGTGCAGCTCTGGTACCCTTCAGAATAAGGTACTCCCCAGTGCGTTACAGGCACTCCTTGGTCATCCACCTGACGTCTTGGAAAGGCAGAGGAGAGGCAGTGTATTCTAATGCACACACTTTCAATTCACATAAATACTGCAAAAATGTAACGGCATGATAGCAGATGGCTTATGATGAGGTGTAACTAAAACAGGAAAGAAAGATCTTCTTTCCATTCTTCAATGACCTGTTCCATAGATAAGCTTAAAATAAGAATTGAGGAAAATGACATTCTTGCAATCCTTTGGCACTGGCCCACTATAGTTTGGGGAATACAGATTTGGGAGAAAATTTCATACAGTAGATAAATCACTTTACGTTTAGGATCTCGAGTGTGACTTGTTTTGGCAGAAGCTACATTAAAACAACACTTGTCCTTCTTTTCTGTCCCCTTTTCCATGTCTCAGGTTTTCCAGATAAGAAACATTAATTTTTTGCATTGCCACCCTGAGTTTAACTAGTCTCGGTTAGCCTCTTACCTCTCAAGACGTTTTAAGAGAAGGTGAATGCGTTTTTACGTAGTGACATAGTCACAACTTATAAAAAGTATATTACTTGTGGATTACATTCAAGAATATTCTAAAATAAGTAGAGTTGTGATTTGACCTGCTAATTACATAACCACTGTAAATTAACAGGATCCATTTTTTATAAAAGTCACTAGAAAAGTCCTTGTAAACTTCTTTGTGTAGAAGTTGTTCCTGCTGCTGTTTGGTTTTTTGGTTGTTTTTTTTTTCTTTTACAAAGGGGTTATAGGTTGTTCGTGCTTTGTGTAGAGAAGAATCACTGCATCTCTTGCTGGCAAAGGCAAAACCATCCAAGTTCTTGTCTCTTTCTATTCCACAGGGACGACTTGGCAGGAAGATGATCTGATGTTCTGTCACAAACTGCATACTTCAGCACCCCTTATCTGCTCTTCCAGATCATTTATCACCCTTGGGAGGGCTTAACGGCACATACGTCATGCAGAGGATATTCCTGTTAATAAGCTGGGTTTATTGCCAGAACTTTGATGATTGCCTCTAAAACTTAGTTTCTTTGTTCACAACTACAGTGTGCTTGAAATCTCTTCACATAGGATGAAGGAATTCCCAAGTAGAAGCTATCTCCATTTTACACTTAAGGAAAAAAATAGTCCTTAACATTCTCACACTTGATGTGTTGCTAAAACTAAGAGCGAACAATAAAGAGAAATCAGAAAATCTGTCTCCTTTCAGCCTTGAAGCCTTTCATACATGTTTTGGGCCATGAACAGGGAATTTGAAGTGTGTTTAAACTAATGAGTTTCTTATCCTTAAGAAAACTCCCCACTAAAATTCACTGAATTGTGATCAATTTCCATCCTGAAAGTTCATCTGCTACTTCTAGGCTGCTCCAGTAGCAACTTAGTAAGGATAGCACTCCAGAAGAGCTAAAAACCGGAAACTATAGCCTTGTCTCAAAGAAATAATGTGGGAAACAGATTTTTATTATTTTCAGCAATGTAAGGAAAAAGTAATCAGTGCAGGATCTTTCTTTTCCCAGACAGTTAATGAAGTGTCAGCCTCGAAGTCTTACTAAAACATCAATACGCTTATGTTGCTGCAGGACAAGAACAAAGTGTGCCAGGGATGACATTGCCATGGAGATGCAAAACAGAGGCACCAAATTCAGGGAATGACCAGTAACAAAGAAGAATGAGAGAAGGAGAAATGTGGGTAAGATACTGGAAAGGGACTATGGAAAGGGAGTAGATCCAGGTACTGTCCTTCTCAGAGTGTCCAGAAGGGTCTGAGTAACTGCCAGTTCCAGTGCTGGCCTTGAACCCTTGCAGTTTTCCAAGCAAATCCTTGTGCAAAGCTGAATACATGACCAGAAGCCTGCGTTTTCCCAGCATTGTATTTCTGTCACTTAGAACACAATCTCCTTTCCAAGCTTTTAATCAGACTTGAGAAACTGCAAATTTCTTCTTTTCCGTTCATTACTGCAGCCAGTTCAGGAAATGGAACTCTTGGTGGTTTCCTGGGACATGGACAGCTGCAGCAACTGCAGAGGGCTAACAAACCATTTTCATTCATCTCTATACAGATCCATATACAGAGAAGAAGAGGTGGAAGAGGAGGGAAGGTAAGAGGAACGTTTGCAGGCAGCCAGGATGCCTGCTGTTGAGTCTCTCTGCATCTTATTCTTTGTAGGTAAATGTCAATAGTTACACATTGATTGAAAATTAAAAACAAATCTAGAAAAATCTTGTCTTAGCAATAAGCAGGTCTGGCTGCAATGTTCACTATTGTTTAGCATGTATATGGAGTTTAATAAAGTTGTTTGCTTGAATACCTGTAATCAAGTTTTCTATGAGAAAACAGCTATGCCAAAAAGACTTTACTGAAGTATTTTAAAGCATCAGCCACTTAATACAGGTCAGAAGAGTGGCACTTACACCCCCCTGCAATCTCAGAACAGCAGTAAGCACCTAGTTGTATTTAAATTAGTTTTCAACTTGTCAAATAAACCAACATTTACCACAATTGCAATATACAGAATTAATGAGTCACAAATACCCCAAGCAGATTAGCAATTCCTCTTTTAAAAAAGAAAAGAAAAAGAAATACCATAAGCACTTTTAAGTCTTGTAACTTGTCAGCACTGAAACACTGCATTGCATTTCTCTATCAATCTACTTCACAAGAGAAAGCCACTCACTTATCTTTTCCTAGATATTGTGCAGGTGGCAGAAGGTAGAGTATTAATACCAACTGATTTTGAAGTCAGTACCATCTTCCCTTTAGCTTTTCCAGTGTGTGCATTACCATCATTCCGAATCTGCTCCAAATCCAGCATGCTGTATGGCTCCATGTCGTCCTTACATGGCATCATCACAGCATTTTGATAGAAAAGGACAGGCTGGCTCTTCCAAAATCACAGTGAGCATCTGCCCTCTAATGATACTCTTCTTGTTGATAAGGATTAAGAATCTAAGTTGTCTGTGCATCTAAAAATCCCTTATCTCCTCAGAACCCTGGCACTGTGCACCCCAAACGTTGTGTGCAGGAACCTTTACCTGTGGCCCATCCAGCCCTGAAGAGGACTGGAATAGACTCCTCTGCAGTTAACATGTTCTCTGCCCTCTTTGCGCGGGAGGGGGAAAGGAGGCAACATCAAAAATCTCTTATCTGTGGCCCTAACAATTTTGAAATGTCATTCTCTCATCATAACTGATCACAGGTGTATTCCTGATGCTCACAACTTCCACGTAAATAACCCTCATCAACCATCAGAAAGCAGTATTAATATCCACAAGATATAACCTGCTGGCTAACAACAGAACCTAACATTCTCATGAGCCAGTCTCCAGAGAGAGGCAGTAGCCCACTTTTGCACCAGTATGAGCTCTTTCAGTCATATAGAGAGGCAAGGCCATGGGGCAACATCCTAGTCCAAGGAAGTCAGCTTCCTCATGCAGAAATTCCAAAGTCCGTGCTGGTCAACCCACGCCTGCACAAAGATGCCACCCTATCACAATCATCACAGCTAGCTGTTCAGGCCAGAAATTCTGGCCTGTGCACCGAAGTAGAGCATCAGTTGCAGCATTCACCTTGTCTTCCAAATCAGTCCTGTATGGTTTTCTTCATGTCTCCTGGGTCCAATATGCTGACATATTTTGGTAATTCTTGAATTTCTCTGCATCTATTTATGAGATGCAGCAGCTATGCAATCAGAAGAGAATTCTCCAAAGGGACACAAAGATGACTGTAAACATTCAAAACTGGGACATATTTTGAACTGCCAAAGGTGCATGAAATGGCAAACCAAAATAGTTTCTGGCTTAGGGGTGGCTAATGAGAAACAAACCGTCCCACAGAGATTAATTCCTGGCAGGAGTCCATTTCTTATGGCATACAGAGTTCATGTCAGTACCCACAAATCCTGGCACCACACACAAACACCAGTGGTAGGGATCTGGGGGTTCTGGTCGACGGCAAGTTGAACATGAGCCAACAGCGTGCCCTGGCAGCCAGGAGGGCCAACCGTGTCCTGGGGTGCATCAAGCACTGTATCGCTAGCTGGTCGAGGGAGGGGATTGTCACGCTCTGCTCTGCGCTGGTGTGGCCTCACCTTGAGTACTGTGTGCAGTTTTGGGCATCACAGTACAAAAAGGATATGAAGCTACGAGAGAGTGTCCAGAGGAGATATGCCAGGGTAGGTGGAGGTTGGGCATTAGGAAAAGGTTCTGCACCCAGAGGGTGGTGAAGCACAGGAACAGGCTCCCCCGGGAGGTGGTCATGGCGCCAAGCCTGACAACATTCAAGAAGCATTTGGACAACACCCTCAGACATATGGTGTGAATTTTGGGGTTGACCTATGCAGGAACAGGAGTTGGACTCGATGATCCTTGTGGGTCCCTTCCAACTCAGGACATTCTATGATTCTATGATTCGGTGAGCACTGTGTGGGTGTAGGTAGAACGGGCTTAGTACCATGTTAGATGTGTAGGACAAAAGGGCATGCCATAGGCCAAGTGACAAAATGGTGTAGTAATATAATAAATAAAAACTTACTGTGTTGTTTCAGAACTAGAAAGATTCATGGTAGTAGGTGAGCTCGCTGCTGTTTTGGAACTTAATGAATTCTCAGCTGAGGAGTAAGAGCTGTCTTCAGATAGCTAAGAATAATAAAACCAGATGAATTAATTAGACCAAGCTTATTTTCTGCTATAAAAAGATCTGCCAGAAGTCCAGAGTCACTGACGTATATGTGCGCGTGTGTGTGCACACGTGTGCGTGTGCACGCGCGTGTGTGTGTGGTAGTTGGCAGAGCTTCCTCCAGCTGTGTACTAAGCTAGTGCCCTTAATCAAAATGCTAAAATGTTTCTTTCTAAATAAACAAAATCCAAAAGACCCCCAAAGCTGATTTGCCCACAGAACCCTGACATCTGAAAGTTGAGACAGCCTGCAGAGAAGAAATGTTTTTTCAAACACAGTCAGCCCAAGTTTAATAGTTCACATCATGTCAGTGATCCATCAATTCCACTGAAACTGATATAGGAACTTTCTTGAAAATCATGCAGTGGAACAATTAACTGCTTTAAAACAGCACTGTTGTTTTTTTTTTTAATTTGAGCAACAAACATATATTAGCCAGAAAAATTACTTTTCTTTTTACCTGAGCATGTGCTTCTTTCTTACTTACTAGAGATACTACAGGATTTTCAGGACAGGTCAGGGCTTGTGGGGGTTGTAAAATGGCAGGTCTAATGACATTCCGCAGTTGACTTTGTGACAAGGATCCTTGCAAAATACAAAGACAAAATATTCAAACAGAGACTTTTTCTTCACATCTAATTCATACCTATGTGTCTTGCCTCTTTAACTGAAAGCTTCAAAGCATATAACAACATTTATTGTTGTTTACTTGCTATATATTCTGAAAAATTGTAATCCCTTCCAAAATACACAACTCTGCAGTGACACCAACCCGTTATCCTATCAGAATACAAAGGTAATGCATTATATACAAAAATATAGTTATTTATATTTATAAAATATATTTGTATTTATGTATTTAAATATATCTTTATATTTATACTTATATTTACTGCTTGGTGTTAGATCTGTCTTCTGGTACTTCAAATTTAATCCTGCACCTGCAGATGCCAAGAGGGTTCTTCATTGCCTTCTCCAGAAGCAGTTATTCAGTTAGAAATGTGGAATTTCACTATTCAACATTATATTCAGTCCACTCAGAAATAAAGCAGTCAGAGCAGAGGCTCAGAACAGAGCTCACAGGATATTTACACTGTCAAACAAATAACTTATGAACCTCATAAACATACTTAGCCTATCACTCAGCATAGAGAGGAGTTGCCATTTTTATGTCTTCCGCATCTGTTAAGAACGTCTTTGTGGAACTACAGTGAAGAAATATTGCAATGACAGTTACCTTCTTTTGTACTTTTGATCAAGTCAGGGTTTCTTTGAAGAAGAGCTGAGGTCATGAATATGTTATTCTTCTTTACTACAGAACAAGGAATTTAAAGTTTAATTATGAGTAATAACAGATTTTAATTACTAATTCATGTTTCTGTAACCCCTCCCTATTTTGGTAGTACCTGAGCAATATTCCAAGCTATCCATCTAAAGAAGATCTCTGAGATACTGTCTCCATTTTACAGGGGGGTAGACTTAGGCACAGAAGGCACCACGGGTTTTCTGGCTATGTCAGAGACAGAAGTCTTTTAGATATTAACGGATGTTTTAACCTTGTAAAATCCTTCTTCAGCTTTGAAAACCAGGTGCTGCTGGTTTGCAAAAGCTATTGAAATGGCAATGCTATCTGGCCCCGTCTTAGTCATTTTTAAGATGAGTAAATGAGGCTCAAGAACATGGGAATAAACAAATGTGCCCCAACCTGTTTTGATAAAAAGGCTTTCATAACTTACTATAATGATGGCAGTGAACAACTGATGCTTTCACTGTTCTAATAAAGATACCAGACACCAGCCAGAAAATGATGGCAACCATGTACCACATCCTGTAAAATGACACAACTGATACTCTACACACAAGCGCTACCTTCATTGCAGAA